GAACACCGACGCAAAATCCTTCTTCCGTCCTGATCCTCCTCGGCGGGGTCGTTGTGCGCGTCGGCGGGGCGCTCCTCACCGGAGGCGGAGGAGGCGGCGGCAGCGCAGGCCTTGCCTCCGCATGGAACTTCTCCTCCAGGCGCGACTTCGACTCCGCATCGTCCTGTCCTTGGCCAGAGGGACGGGCGGGAGCAGCACCGCCAACACCTTGACGCCCTCCATCTCCGTGTCCTTCCCGTGGCTCTTGTTGCCGTAGTTGTTCCCCAGCTAGGTTTGCCTAAGGGGTTCTTATTTGGTTAGAGGTTGGTGCCTCGGGATATTACTTTGCCCGTTGCTCTGAGGTTCCCCGAGTTCCCAGGGTTCCTCGGGTTCCCCGCTCCCGGTGCCTCCTACTGTTATTACGTTGCCCGTTTCTCGGAGGTTCCTCGGGTTCCCCGGGTTCCTCGGGTTCACCAGGTTCCCCGGGTTTCTTGCGTTCCCTGGGTTCCCCGCCCGTAGTGCCTTGTATTGTGATTGTTCCCGTTCCACGCAATGCCAAGCAAAGCCAGGCAATGCCAAGCACTGCCAGGCAATGCCAAGCAATGCCAAGCACTGCGCCCATGCAGTAGGAAACTCTCCCCTAATTGGGGTCGCACCGGGTTCATTTTGGTACTGCTCCGAATCCTGCTTCATGCGCTGGTTTTCCCTGCACTTCCTGCTCTTCGTATCACGCTTCGTCTCCTCGGCCACCGCGGTGGAAGTGGGGGCCGCGGGCACGAGCTGGAAACAGGTCAGCAGGGCCACTGCAGCTGGTGGCGGCGCTGACACAGGCGGGTGCATAGCGATTTTGCTTATTGAGGTTGCGATCCAAGTCTTTGGAGCCGAGATCTGCCTTAGGTCTCCCGGTGGCGGGGGTAACGGCAGAAGGCGCCTGATTATATAGTGGAATTCGATTTCGCATCCAGTGGTGACCTTGAAGTTGACGTCCGCAAAGCCTTGCATGCTTTCTCCATACAGAGGCGCAGTACACAAACCCAATTTCGACTCCAAGGTATGGCGGTGCCGCTCAAACCAGCACAGAATTTGGTACAGCGTCGGGGCGCTTGGGTGGGGCGTCGCAGCGATGGACACGCAGCTCGAGCCCAAGCGGCGGCTTGAGAGACGGCGAGAGAGAGAGAGAGAGAGCGAGAGAGAGCGAGCAAGACAGACAGAGCGAAGGCGATGATGGGACCTTGTGAGAGATGAGCAGGCCCCTCCTGCTTCCTCCTGTTCCCTCCTGCTCCCTCTCCTCCCCTCTCCCTCCTGCTCCCTTTCCTTCGCGCCTCCTCTCCCCCTCCTCCTGGGAGGGCAGGAGGGAGCCCAGGGACACCGATCCCATCCGAGGCCGACCCCGCCACCATGGTAAGGCAGTTGTCGAGGCTCCCCCTCCCTCCCAGCCTCCTTCTCTAAGGTTCTCCTCCTCCTCCTCCTCCTCCTCCTCCACCCTTTTTCCTCGTCCTCCCTCCTCTTCCCTCCCCATCCCATCCCCTCCACACCCTGCGCTCGCCTTCCTCCCCTCCCCTTCCCTCCTCTCCCCCCCCACACCCAGCAACTCCTCCTCCTTTGCCTCCGCCTCCGCCTCCTCCTCCTCCTCCTCCTCCTCCTCCACCGCCCACCCTCCTCCTCCACCCTCCTCCCTCCTCCTTCCCTCATCGCTCCTTCTGCGTCTCCTCCTCCACATCCTCCCTCCTGACTCCTCCCCCTCCTCCCCCTCCCCTTCCTCCTCCTCCTCCTCTTCCTCCTCCTCCTCCTCCGTTCTGCCTGTCCTCCCGCCCTCCTCCCTCCCGTCGTCTTCCCGTCGTCCTTGATCTCCGTCCCCTCCAACTCCGCGTCCTGCTATTCCTCCTCCCGCGCGACATTGTCCCCCCCCTCC